TAATAGAGCTTTTCAACTGTGAACTCTCATAAATTCAAAAGCTTTTTTCTACATGAAATTAAAATACCTTAGCAATTTATAAAATTATAACAGTTGTGAGGAAGATATTTTCAGGACTCTAAAAGACCATTATTTTGGAAATACTTAGTCAGGTTTTTACCTTGCCAGAGAATAATCAAAAGTGTAGAGCTCAGCAACTGTCAAGATTTCACTGCAAAATAACCCCAAATTCGATCACCCTTGTGAAGTTCCATATTTCACTTTCATATCTGTATCTGCCTGAAGTTTAGGGTGTAGTTGAGTTCCTACCATCAACCATGGGAGAAAGAAAGCTCAACCCACTTTCAATAGCTACCTTTTAAATGATTACATGTGACTAAATCTATGAACTTTTGTGAACGGCATGTGGGTAGGGGCCTCGGTAAGGGCTGGCAAGTCACCATGATTTGGGGAGGATAAGGACTTGGGCAAAACAGTACTCTGTTCTTCAAACTTTGCCTGAGAGCAAATTTAGTCTTGCTAGCATGTTATAATTCTTTTTATAAGCTTCTTTGACAAAAGTTCTGCATTTATTAGCAATAGCATAGCAGCTTCAAAAATGCACATGTACTAAGACTTTCTGTTCACCATTTCACTCAACTACCAGACTATGTAAAGCTTTAGAGGATATCCTGTCATAAATGCAGGAGAGGGTGTGGGTGGGGCTGCCCCACTTTAGCTCTCAGGCAAATCTGGTGAAAAGCTGTTTGTGTAAATGGTTCCATTTTTGATTATCGTAAATTGTAGAAAATTTTGCATCTAGTGACTTAAAGTTTGTTCCCTTTTCTTTCAACCTAGTCGTTTCTGTCAACAACAAATAGCCTGCTTTCTGTTGGGGAGAAAAACTCCTCAGACATCTGAAGATAGCAATTATGCCTTCTCTCAAGGCTTCCTTATCCAGATTATATATTCATTTCCTCATATGACATGGTCCTTGTTCTTGGTTTGGTTTTATGTTAGACCATTACTGCTTTTGCCCAAAAGCCACTACAGTACAGTTTACTTCACCCTTGAAGTGAAGGTTTAGCTACTAAATGTTTGCTACTTTCTTGGAAATATGATTCATGTATCTAATTCAAGAAACAAAAGAATAAATAAGACTTTAATACTTCACTGTACTTTTAATAGTTTCAATAGTAGTTAGCTTGCTACATATTATATATAATTAAAGGAAAAATAATGTCAACAGTACTCAAGTGTAAAAGTAAACACATATGTTGCAATGCCTCTTGAAATTAGTTTGGAAAGTATTATAGGGCCAAGGACTCTGTGTATAAACTTAGCAATAACCAGTTAAAATATATAAAACTGTGGTTAGTCCATACACAGCCCATATAGTGTTCAGCAGCCTATTTGATGCTTCTGCATTGAGTCCATGGAGCTCTTGGACTGGCTGTATTTGCTGAGCTGAGAGTTCACTGCAGTTGAACAACAAGGTCATTCAGGCAAACAAATACTCTGACTTTTTTTCACCAAGTTAACTACGTTTTTGAATTGGCCAATTAGTCCACGAATGTGTAAATGAAGACACTCTCTTTTTTGTAGTTTACTGAGTTATTGAACTAACTTAAATAATTGATGTTGTGTTTGTTATGTGCATGGTACATTTAAAAAATAATTGTAAATACAAATCAGAAGTACTATTTAAATATGAGAAACAATGTTCATGATCTACTTTGATTTTATTATGAAAATCACTAACAATTACTGAATGCCTGTTTTGGCCAGGTGCTATGCTAAATGCTTTACACATACTCTATCAATCTGTCACAGCAGTCTATGAAACATGAATATAAGATGGCTATTTTTTTCAAATGAGAAAACTGAGGTTCCCCAAAAAGCAAGGCTTGCTTCCACCATGAAGCATTTTGACGTCTACAAACCACAGAAGTCATTTTTCTGGCATGATGGCAGCCATATGGCTAATGTTTCTTTTTAGTGAGAGCATCACAATCTTTCCAGCATTTTCTGAGTGGGTTTGCTTCCCTAAAAAGATAAGAATTTCGTACATATCAAATACTCATTCTCTTACTTCTTCCTTTCCTCCAAAATAAAAGTCTAGTACAGTGTCCTGAATATATGAAGGTCAACTGAGTGTTTTGGGGGTGGATAATTTTATGAGAGACAAATGAATCTGGAGGAGAGAAACAGCCTCCCGAGAGGAAAGGAAAGAGAAGTTAAAGGACTATCTGGGGAATTGAAATTTAGCGGTGATGTTTGACTTGACCACCAGGTGTCACAAGTATACCAATGTTCAGACACAGTTAAACAGAAATTGTTTGAAACTCCTTTTAAAGGAAAAATTAAAGAAGTGTCGAGAAACAGCATATGAATTTCAGAAACCAAATACTTAAAACCGTGTTTTAGGAAGATTGCAAACATTTTTCATAATAGTTTTCTGAAGATTTCTTAGTTTCTAGACTTACTATAGATTCCTGAAATATAGAGCTATTAAAGGCCAGTTACATTTCAAAAGAAAAGCAATTCCAAAAAAAGTTACAAGTTCACTCAAAAAATTGTGGTGATGACTGAATCAAGATGCTTGCAAAACAATTTCTACTTTCCCAGCAACTTCGAAGATGAAAACCTATATTTTTGTAGTTATAAAATAATAATAAACATGTTTAAAAGTGAACCAATGCAAGATTTTAGACCAATAACCTTGACAGTGAACTGTTACAACAAGAAAGATTATTTCCTTTCAATTTTTATCTCTTTACACAAGGAAAAGAGCTCCATTAGTAAACAGAGATAAGCTAAGACAAAACAAATTTTATTAATACAAAATGCTCATCCCGAGACCCTCATACAAACTGGTTGTATACATACATACATTACATAGGCAAGAGTTTCCATTCGTTCATAATTTCCCAGGCAATTTTTTCTACACATATTGATTTATAAGTGTATTCATAGGTGGGACCATTTTAACTGAATTTGATTTATTTATGCATATAGTTTTATAAAACATAGCTTTATACAGTCAATAATAATTAGTATAAATATAATTGTCAGTAACATCAATAATCAAATTAATAGTTAACTTTTAATTGGAATTATCTAGCATAATCTACATAATTTGTGTACACTTCAGTTGATTACCATGTTCATTACTATTTTCTGAAAAAGCCCAGAAAGGTGGTACATGCTTGTGATTCCCAAATTGGGAGGTGCAGGCAAGGGGATCAGGCATTCAAGGTCATCCCCCTTTATATAGATATTTCAAGGGCAACCTAAGGGCTAAGTGAGACTCTGTCACAACACAATTAAAAAAAACTCTATGGTAAACAGTCTCAGTCAGACATTCATCTTTATGGATTTCAAAAACTTGTTTCTCAAGCTGTATATCGAACAGCTAGGCTTTTCATGGGTAATTCAAATTATCCTCCAAGAAGGCATCCCATATGAAATCGCAAACTCCATCTTCTTTTCTGGACCATCACAATGTCAAATACATTAGCATTCCACATGTATCAAATCCTGCCTAGCTGGTGAAAGAAATATGATGCAGCCAATTGTGGCTTGTTCTTAAGTTTTAAAACATATTGTATATATTTATTGAAACAGCAGGTTTCCATATCTGTACACATTGTGAAATATGTAAAGCTAATTAACATATCTGTCAGTTCACATCCTTATGATTGTCATCATGCGAAAATTTAAAATAGACTATTAGCAATTCTCATATCCTATACATTGTTATTAGTTATGCTATTCTGGTGCATAATAGATCTATGAAACATGTGACCCATTCTTTAACACTTAGCCAAAGGATAAGCTGTAGTCAGAAAACTTTGACAGTTATTTTAATGCCATAAAGAAAGGTTAAAGTTTTCTTGAAAGCAATACTTTTCATAGCTTTGTTACAACTGTCAACTCGAAAGCACAACTCTAATCTCAAAGGGGATAGGATAAGAGATAGTTTATTCCAGAGCCAAATATTAGTGGCATGGCTCAGGAACACAGATTCAGGTTACCCCAAATTCCATGTTCCAGCACAGAAGCAGTTTCATGAACTTTTTATAGTAACAGAACAAAGAAAAGTCATAAATCAAGACACTTTTCAAATACATAGGTGGAAACATTAAGTAGGCTGAGACAACAAAAGAGAAATCTCAGCTATGGGCCTCAGATGCTATCTGAGGGCATTCTTATACTTTGGTTTGTGGGAATTAGTACTTTATTAATTAAAGATTCTAAAGATTTTTTTTCTCTATTAGTCACAAGATGTTAAGTCAGAAACAGAGGTGGACAAGGAATGGCTATTTAGAAGCTAAAGATGGCCCAAGACAAATTGCAAATAGGCTATGCAGCATTCCAAGCTCTCCAGAGTCATTGAAGTGCTCATCATTTGGTCCAGCTTGCAGTAAATTCAGTTCAAGATGCAGGATTTTTCTGCGAGCTTTCATTCACATGACCAATCCAAGTGCCTCAACAAGTGGGTCTCAAACTTAAGCATGCGACACAATGATCCACAGTGCAGTCCTAACCAGAATTTCACATTCAGTAGATCTGGAGTGGGGCCCAATAATACACATTTCTAATAATTCCCCATGTGATTGAGGAATTACCCTTCAAAAACACTGCTCAGACACATTGCTGATACCAACAAGAGTAATTTTATATGAGAACCCACTATATTATCTCCTCACAAATAGGAATCATTTAATTTTCCCCCCACACACACCTTTTTTTTTCTTTTCCACTTTGAAAGAGGAAATTTCTAGACAAGTCTGTGGCCTAACTTCCATCAATGTGTAGCATAATCTGGCATGTTTTCCTATAATGGTCTCTCCTGTCTTGATGAAATGGAAAGAAGTGCTAGTGAAAAGAACACCAAAGGTACCGCACCCTGTTTAGGTTTTCAGAAACACATTCAGGGCTCTTTGTTGAAAAAGAACTTCCATAATTGGAAAACGGAGACAGTTCTCTCAATGTCCTGATGAAAGGTTAAACGTTTTTGTAAATTTAAACTTTTAATAGCTATTTATTACCCAGTGAATCTTTGAGCAAAGCTTAATGAGCTTATTTCTGAAACATTCTTATAACCTAATTCCATTTTACAATTATTTTTAACATTCCGAATAACTACTGTGCTGCGGATTATGCACTTGTATAAACAATGGCTCCAAAATTCAAAACTACTCTATGACAAAATAAAGGAAAATAGATTATGATGTTCTACTATTCTTATTTTCCTTGAATATCAAAAACTTGAAAATGATAAGTTCAATAAAAGTAAAAGGATGCATTAATCTTAAAACTTTTCTTTAACATTAAATATATAATTGGTAAACACTTTGTTATGACTATTGCTAATTTTTAACATAAAAATATATTTCTGATTTTATTTCCCCAGAATTTTGAGAAGTTCATGAAAACTGTCCCACAACTATCTAGTTAAATTTCTTTTTCATCTTATGCTAATGAATTTAAAATTCAGTTTTCTGGATTTAATTATTTTTCTGCTTGATAGTCAATGTGCTATAGTAGTTCTAACTACAGACTTTTTTTCAGACAGACCTGAGTTTCAGAAAAAGTAGCTTTGTTTATAAGTTATTTCTCCTAATTTATCTTACCCACAGTCTCTTAAATTATATAATTTATACCATTATTTATATAATCACAGAAGGAAGCTACTTGTTGCTATGTATATATCTGGTCCACAGCAGTGTCACAATATATGTTGCTTTTATTCTCATTTTTTTGTAATTCCTCAGTGTCTTCTGAGTCATGAGAAAATATGAAATATAAATACATTTCAAAGCCTAGGTTAAGTTTCTTGTACCTCAGGAAGCTACTCTTAACTTCTCTAGCTTTTACTGACCTCAGTTTCTTTGGATTTTTTAAATATTTGGCAATTTATACTATACGGATACTTTATTTCATGACAGTTAAATTTACTGAGAATTTTCACGTGCCCAGTACCTTGTATACTTTATGACAACTCATTAAGTGCCTATTTGACCATTGAAAAAGTATGCTTAGATGATGTTATGTGATTGCTCTGACATATAGTCAATTCACACAATTCAAGTGATACCTTGAACATATATACCTTACTACCGTCACACATAATCACCAATTTCAATGATTCTGTCTTCCTAGATTTTTAAAATACAGCCATCTCTTTCATCTTGCATCAGCTCTGCTCTAATTCAGGTGCCCATCATCTGTATCTCTTGTTCAACTTCTAATAATTCCCTCCAGTTACAATTTAGCTCAATGAAATTAGGTTGGAATTGCTCTAAAATAGGCCTTTTTAAGGTAAATCATTACTTGAAATTCAAGGCTAAAATACTAAGAAAATCACTTAAAATTAAATCAAAAATTAAAAAATGAATTTGAATGTTCACAAGGAAATGAAACGCTGTATGATTAAAAGAAATGAAATATCATAAGCTATTGAGAAAACAAATACCAAAGAAGTCGATGAACGTCTAACCTTATTTTAATTTAAATATAACAATTTAAACACATCAGGGGTTTGGAGAGATGGCTCAGCATTTATGAGCACTAACTGCTCTTGCAGACGACTCGGGTTCAAGTCCCAGCACTCACATAGTGGCAAATAACGGTCCGTAACTCCAGTTTCAGAGAATTGGACATACATACAGGCAATACACTAATACACACAGAAAATTTAAAAAAATAAAATATTTTTAGAAGAAATTAAACACATCAACAAAAAGGTAGATATTAGTAGAATGGATTAAAACAAATAGCTTACAAATTGCTTACAGAGAACAAATAGTGTGGATCTTCAGCATGCATAAGACCGGAGGTTAAACCCCATCAACAAAAAGTAAAATAAACCTACTAATTTTGTGAGCATGGCATCTTGTGCCTTTTATAATGGCATCATGTTCCTTTTGAGGAGTGGGCTAAGAAAGAAAGATTGCTTGATTCCAGTAGTTCAAGGCCAGGCTGGGCAAGATAGCAATAAGAGAGATCGATACAAAGAAGGTCAAGAGGAGATGGAGGCGGGCAGAGAATACTAACTGATACCAAATAAACTTTATAGAAAAATGACTATTAAAAACAAAGACTAATGTATAACTAACAGAGGATCATTTTATTGGAAAACATAGTAATTATGAACTGAAATACATGATGTGAAAACTAACAGAAATGAAAGAGAAAGAATTCATCAGTAAAAGTGGGAAACTTTTTTAATTCTGTTTTCAGTAATAGAACTGAGACAGATTAAAGATTCCTGACTCTCGGGGTTGGAGAGGTGGCTCACCGGTAGAGCACTGACTGCTCTTGCAGAGCACCTGGGTTCGATTCCCAGCACCCACATGACAGCTAAGCACCATCCTTAACTCCAGATCCAGGGGAATTTGAAGCCCTCTTCTGACCTCCGCGGCATTGCCTGACACGTGTGCATTCACATACATGCAGACAATGCACTCATACACATAAAATAAAAATAATAAGTAAAATATTACAAAAAGATTCCCAACTCTCTCAGGGACCCATGGACAGGAGTTAAACAATCTTCCAAATTGTTAAATACTACTCTTAAGGCTTATGATAGGCCTTTATTGTAGAGCACAGCATTGCATGTTTATTCTCTGTTTAAATAAGCTGATAGTTGGGAGCCAGGTGATTTCTCTATATTAAACAATAATTAAAACCTTTCTTCTTCATACCCTGACTGCCTTGAGTAATGCACTATCAGCCCATCAGCCCCTTTGCTGGCAATTGGCAGGACAGCCTTCACTGCAGCATCGTCTGGATGTTTTGGACAATGTATACTTACTCAAAAGGTATGACCGCATTTGCAGATCACTGCAACCACGGTTGAAGATATGCTCCAGACTACACCAGCTTTGAACACTAGCACTCTGAACAGGCCACAAACCTCAGTAATGGTCCCACATCCCTTTTTACGTAGGCCAGAGTGGGACCCAGCACTGCTAGCAATAAAAAAGCTTCTCCTTGCTTACTGATCTCTGTTTGAGTAGAACAAAATGATCCCAGCCAGACAAATGGTAAGACAGTATCTTGGTAGAAAATTAATAAAGATACATAAGACTTGTGAAATAATACAAGTCAACTAGGCTTAACAGAAGATGATAGAACACACCACACAACAATAGCAGAATATATCTTCCCAAGATCAAACAGAAAAGTATTCAAAATAAAGCATATAGTATGTCACAGAGCGACTTTGATAGATTTTAAAGAAATTATAGCACATAATGTATTTTCACTGATAGTAATGAGAAAAAGCTAAAAATGAATTAAGAGAGGGAATTTTAGGGATTTAGCAAATGAAATTTAGAAACAAATTCTTGAGTAATAGTATAATTACTCCTCCTTTCCCTCTAGCAATCTCCTCCACCCCACAGTTGCCTTTCTACTTTCATGCATATATATGTTTATATAATCTAAACACTTTATATAACAGAAAACATTTGATACTTATCTTTCTTAGTCTGGCTTATTCTGTCTAGCAAGGTTCCCTCTAATTTCCTTAGTTTTCCTGCAGATGACATTGTTTCCATCTTTATTATGGGTGAATAGTAATCCTGTTCATGTATATATCACTCTAAGTCACACTTCCTTTTGCAATTAATATGTTGATGGACATCTAGGTTCATTTCATAACTTAGTTGTTGTGAATAGTACTGCAATAAACATGGATGTTCAGGTATCTTTGTTGTATGCTGACTTAGAATCCTCAGATACATACCTAGAGTGGTGTTGCAGGGTTGGATCAAATAGTAGCACTGCTTCTAGTTTTTTGAGGAATCACCATACTGATTTTAATAGCGCTAGGATTAATTTACTAATTTATATTTTCATCAACATCATGAGTTCATTTCACACATATTCTACCAACATGTTTCTCTTGATGATAGTCATTCTGAGTGAATCAAAATAGAAACACAATGTAGTTTTGATTTCCATTTGTTGATGGCTAAATATGTTGACATTTTTCATGTTTATTCATACAGCCTCTAGGTGATATGCAGATATCCTTGTTTGGAGAAAGAGGCAGAGAAGAATTGGGCAGTGGCTCCTCTCCCATGGAGACCTTTCTTATCAGTATCCCCTTTTGTCCTTGTCCTTTCTCCCCTTCCTTGTTACTCACTAGGCCAGAGTAGGGTGGATAATCTGCAATTGGAAGCTGTTTTGCTAAAAAGCACTGACTCCTCACTTGTACTCACTGGTAACCAAAAGCAGGATGGACCTGACACTTCTGGCATAATTTTCATGTCTGTCTGTCTGTGTGTCTGCCTGTCTGCCTGTCTGCCTGTATGCTTTACACAGAGATAGATCATTTGCCTTACCTTTCCTTTTGAGTCACTACTGAAACAGCAGAATCTTGCAAGATGATACCCCCACCTCCATATGAAGAGACATGACCGGGCAGTAGAGGTACTCAAAATATTTCCATTGAAATTTTCTAATCAAATCTTATAATAGAAGATAAAGATTAGAAGAAACATGTAGGTATCATTTTAGAACTAAAATGTTCAAAAATATAAAAATATAGAGTAGAGTGAGATTGATTGTTTCCTCCTAAGCATGCAAGAGGAAGTAACAAAAGAAAAGGTTGATCCCAGGCTTCCAATTTGCAGTTGAAACTTCCTATTAGTGGCATATAAGCTTTTTTAATTTTCCATTTAAAACAATATCTTCTGTAGTCATAGGGCCAATTGATTTAGTTCAACCAAAACTAAGCTCATCTTTCAGTTAACTAACTTATAATGCAAATTAAGTTTGCAAACATGAAGAAATAATTTCCTTAAAGGGAAGCATTGAATAGAAAATAATAGTTTAAATAATTTTTTTAGAAAGCATGACACAGGTGTAGTTACATGCTGGCAAAACACTCATACACATAAAAATTAAAAATAAGTAAATAAATAAATGAAATTTAGAAATGAATAGATAATAAAAATTGGAATGAGAACATACCAACAGATGCAAATTAAGCTGGAGATATTAAACATCAAAATTACTGTGCTCTCTCCAGTTAAAGCAGGCCTCCCAAATCTATCTAAAGATTTCACTGCCGCTCTGCCTAAGAACCTCTAAGAGCTCCCTATGAGGTAATTGCCCCTGATTCTCTTCAAGACTCACTGTCATAATTTCTCTTGCCTCAAAGACATAGAACATGATTCAAGTCCTACCAGCTTTCAACAGGTGAAACATAATGTGTGACTCCCAAGGCTTCTATCTCTGAGATTTCTTGTTGTCTGTTGGTAGAGAACACATTGAGATAAACCTGTGAAGGTATGGATAGATAAGGCGCTGTTTTGAAGGCAAATACTCAATCCTTGTTGTTTTCTGAATGTTTGTGTTCCATTCAAATCCGTATGTTAGAATCTGCTCACCAATATGATGACACTAAAAGGTAGGATTTGGGGAAAATGATTATGTGAATTCTTTATTAATATAATAAGCATCTCTTTTTATTTTCAATATTTTTTATTGTTTTGTGCATTTCACATAATGCATCATAATCAAATTTAGAACCCCCCCATCCCTCATGTCCCATTCACCAGATTTCAGGTATTCTGTCATATATGTTAAGTCCTGTCTGGTCAAGAATTTCTATCTAGGTGTCCCTCAGTGGTACGAGTTCATCCACTGGAGTCTAGTCAGCCTATGCAGTCACTCCCTGAAAGAAGATCTTCTGTCTTGCACCTCACAGTAATCATTTGCCAATAGTTCCTTGGTTATTGCTGACAGCATGCACAAAATCCATGCCAACTCAATCAAACAAAAATTCAGCATGGAGCAGGGGGAACTGGCAAGTTTGTATGAATAATCCTAGAGGCTTGCCTAGCACCCTCCACCATGTAAAGACATTTTATAGCACTCCAAATAAACTAAGAAAATGAAAATACAATATAAAAGCAACAAAAAATTGGGGCAAGGAAGAGTGTATGTAGGTAGCGAACAGCATGCTAGATTATAAATCATCCTTTAAGGATCCTCTCTGTACTACTATGTCAGTTAAGGCAATGCTACTAAATAATGTAAAATCTGCCATTTTCTATTGTTTGACAACACAGCCTCTGCAACAAGTCAAGGCTGTGATGTGATGGAAATGATGTCATTTGCAGTGTCCGAAGATGATAGCAATGCTATATGAAGCTTTTTGGAAAATCACTACAGGTGAATTACACTGCAAATTAATTAGAATTTGGAGCAAAATCCCATCATTCTCCTCAACTAAATACTGTTATCTGAGAAGCACCTTTGGGTTTTTTAGTAGGCCTTAGTATAGACTTAACATGCCGTTTGAGCTGGCCTTCTTAAGCTAGATGTTGCTGGACCTTCCAAGCCATAAATTTGGACTTCCAAAACAGCACTCCATTATTAAATGGAAATGAAAAATACCACATTTTAACAGCTCCTGAAAGTACAAAACAGATGCATGAGAAAGTAAGCAAATGTCCACGGACCAGATACTTACTTTTGAGGAAGTCCCTATAGCCAGTCAACTAAAGAAGTAAAAGTCTGATATGGTTTGTATAATAAGCAAGCATAAGCGCTAAAGTGGACAACTGCAGCATTACAGTTACTTCCTAGGACCTCCCTGAAAATGAGAGCAAAGTTAAATCCTCTCAGTGGGAAAAACAAAAGAGGTACACCTGGCTATGAAATTTGCTCAGAAGTTGAAGCCGCAGGAGGTATGAGCATACACCAATTCATCTGCTACATAATTGTTTAAATGGATAAGAAGAGATTCAGTGTGCTAGAACAAACATAAAATTGGGGAAGAAATATCTGAATAGAACATGCTGACTAAAAATTAAATGGATAAGAATATGATGAAAATTGTAAAGTCTTCCCAAACTGTAACCTCAGTGTATGAGGGTTTATAACCAAGTGAAAAGGATGATGAGTTCCTTAGATACTAGTCAACTTCTTTCACCATCCATATCTCATTGCCCAGTGGGCTTATGACAGAAGTGACTATTGTGGCAGAGATGGAGACTATGCATGAACCCCAAGTATGTATTTCCATTTGCCAAGGTTGAACACAGTGTAGACACTGAGGAATGTCCAATATACTAGGAGCAAAAACTAATACTCAGTGTATGTTATGACAATAATCCCCATGGCAATCAAATAGCTACTTTGTAGCAGGTTTACTTAACTCCCATCTTGCATAGCTACTCACTTTTTTCTTACTATAATAGGCAATTTCCATGGAATAGATTCGCCTTCTCTGCATTCAATAGTTCTATCATAACTATCGTTAAGGATAAAATACCTATCCATTATCATGTACTCAAAAAGAGTTTTATTTTTTTTGTTCAAATGAAACACATCAACAGCAAAGTTAGATGGAACCATGGGCCCACATTCATGGACTTCAGTGTTATTTCCACGTTCTTCATTTTGTTTAAGTAGCTGGTCAGATGCCTTTTTAGTGTCCAATAAAATTTTCAAGATTTGCTAATAACAATTAGCTAGATGGCCTGTGTACATGTTCTCCATAGACAAATCAGCATCCTGTGTCTTTCACAGCCAAGATTAATGGATACAATAATTGAGGATGGAAATGTAATAGACTTGTGAGCTATTATCCCTAGTGAACCATTCACCAAGCTTTTGCTTCCCATCTCTGTGATCTTGGGCTTTCTGTATTTGGAGGGCTTATTTCACAAAGGAACAATAATCTTAGCAGACTTATAAGAATTATTCCACGTACTTAGAAACTGACTTAGTCCCACTCAATGTGTGCTTTTCTTTATTCTAAATCAATAGGCAAAGAAGCAGCCTATGGTACTGATTGGGGTGATTAACCCTGATTACAAAGGTAAAATTAGGTTGCTACTATACAATAAAAGCCACAAAAAAATGAGGCAAGGAAAGGTGTATGTAGGTAGAGAACAGCATGTCTAGATTGTAAGTCATTCCTTAAGGAACCTCTTAGTACCACTATGTCCTGCCAGTTATGTCAATAGAACACTATAAAAACCAAATTGAAGAAAGAGTGTTAATGGCTTTTAATACACAGAAATAACATTTTGGAATAGCCCAGTAGGAAAACCAATGGCAAAATGCAGAACTTGCTGAGGAAAAAGGAGATGAATTGTTCATGGATCTAGTTTTTAAAGCCAGCTATGGAGATGTTATCAAGATGGTAGACCAAGAGGTCCAAATCTTCATCCCTCTATAAAAACAAGGATTTGACAACTATCCATAGAAGAATAGCACTGTGAAAGCTCTGTAGTAAAATCAAGATGGTATCACAACCCAGAGATCACAAACAACGATTCTCATCTAGGAAGACCCCAGAAGTCCTCACATCCTCAAAGATCTCCTGTGACTTCCACCACTAAGTACACATGGTGTGTTTTTCAACACAGGATTCAAGCTACTACAGCATCCCTGAGTGAATGAATACATGTTTAAGAAGGAAATTTTTAAATCTATTTTGAGTTGAATTTTTTGAGGGGGGATAAGTCAATGTGTAATTTCATTCAGCACTGACTATACAGATTTCCAGCTCCATTTTTTTGTAATAGATTGCCCTTTCTCCATTGCATTTTTTCACCTTTGTTAATGATGCATCAATAATTGATGTATGGATTTATTTGGGGCTCTCAATTCTGCCTTATTGGTGTATGTGTGTGTTTGTTTTTTATGTAAGTACCATATTGTTTTGATTACTAAGGCTCTGTAGCAGATTGTGAAATCAGATACTGTGATGTTACTATTCTTTTGCTCAAGATTGTGTTGGTTGTTTAGAATGTGTTACAGTACCATATCAATTGTAGGATTATTTGGGGGAATTTCTATGAAAAACAGCAGTGTAATTTTCATAGCAATTGGACTAAACTTGTAGATTACTTGAGTAATTTGGCTATTTTATCAACATTCACTCTTTCAACTGATGAACATGGGATATAACTTCATTTATTTGTATTGCATTGAATTTCATCAGTGTTCTACAATTTTCAACACAAATAACTTTCTCCTAATCTAAATTTATTATTAAATATATTTGAAGTTATAAATAGAATTATTTTCTTGAGTCCTTTTTTGCTTATTTGTTATTAAAGCATAAAAACTGAAACTTGGATCCAGAGAGATGACTCAGCAGTTAAGAGCACTGACTGCTCTTACAGAGGACCCAGATTCAAATCCTAGCACCCACATGTTGGCTAACAACCCTCCATAACTCCAATTCCATGTATCCAACACCCTGCATAACACAGGTCACTTACATACATGTATACATCAAAACTCAAGCACAAAAAATAAAAATAAACAAATTAAAATTTTAATTAAAAAAGAAATAAAAACCAAAACTTTAATGATGTGATTTAGTACTTCTAAATATTTTTAGTAGCTTCTTTGGGATTTTCTACATAGGAGAGATATCATTTGCCAACAGGAAAATTATTTTTCCCTTCTGAGCTGGATGTCAAATAAACCCATTCTTTTGTTTGTTTGCTTTGCTCAGGACTTAGAATACTCTGTTGAATAGTAGAAGTGACCTTGGGTATCCTCATATTATTCCTGATTGTAAAGAAAATTTGAATATATTATTCCACTCTCTCTCATCCTGAAAAGTGTCTACTGAGAAATCCATTGACTTTTATGTATTTCCTTGAATGTGAAGGTTTGCTTTTCTCTTTTTTCAGGAGTCTGAGTTTTTTTAAGATAAAGTTTATAATATGTCTTGGATGTTCTTCTTTTTGTGCTTGTATTTCAGACCCTGGCTCTGTGGTTACTGCATTAGCCTCACACAAAAGTCATTGAATCCCCTGGTGGGATAAAACAGTAGGAGGAGGAAGGGTCAGTCTTCTTTAAGGGCATGACTCTGAGTAAGTTCCAGTTAATGGATCCACACTGAAGGGAATTTAGGGACACAAATTTGATGCGATAGTCTTCTTATATATATGAAATGAAATCAGGTGGCAGTAAGGGGAGTTGAGATAGAGGAGATGGTCTAAATATAATCAAAATATATTGTATGAAATTCTCAGAAAACACAATCAGCAGCAATCACATAGGTGTCCTTCAAAACTGCAAAAGCAAAAGATGACAGCTGGTACTTCTGAATGTATTATTTTCTGACATCCTTCAAGGGAGGTTATTTTAGATCATTTGTATAAATCTGATTCAGTTAGTCTTGAGACTTTAAGGATGAAGTTTAGCTTCCTCAAAGAAGAAGTTTGGACCAGTGAGATGGCTCAGCAGGTACGTGTGCTTGCTGCCAAGCCTGATG